CAAAAACCTTGCTCAACCCTCTCGACTTGCACCCCTATAGCCTATGTAGAGCTGTAAATCAGGTTGTGTCGCCCACGACCCGGCATGACATGGCATGATGGCATGCGGGTCGTGCCAGGCCCTACATGATGGTAGAAGCCGTGTTGGGCCTGGGGTTCCAGGCCCACAGGCCGACATGACACTATGTGTGCCGTGCCGCTTGTGGCCCACGTGCCGGCATGGGCCAGCACTACATGACCCACCTGATGAACTAGCTAGTTTCAACTTTTTGGGGTTTTTTTTTTATACAAATACCCCCCAACAACTATAAACAACTATATAGGGGGTATTTATGTATTTTGGTTTTGGGGGTAGAAAGAATGACACAAATGCCCCCAACAACTATATAACAACTAGTTTGGGGGGCATTTTGGGTAAAGTGATAAATAACTTTACAATGACCATAATACCCCTCCCAATAGCTACACCTGATGTTTCACCTGAAATAGATGATCAAAGTCAAGAACAATAGGAGAAAATGATGAAGCCAATATATTTTGTATACTCTATAGTTGTATAGAATTTTTTCAAATTATTGTAAAATTTGTTTTAAATTTATTTAATTTATTTGATATTTTTAATAACATAATTTTTTATTTTCAATTTGTAACTATATTGTATTTTTTATATTTGATTAATTTATTCCATTTTCCAACTTTCATATTTCATTCATCCAACCATTGTATGCTTTGTATCATTCAAATTTAAATGAAATAAAATTCCTATTTTTCTTCCAATTTGTTATTCACTTTGAGTCTTTGTCTCATTGACTTCTTATTTGGTTAAGTTTTTTCTTTTTTCATTTCTTTGTTAGATTTTTTATTTTTTAAATATTTCCCAAAGGAAACTTAAATATTTAACTTTTACTTAGCAAAGAAATAAAAAAATAGAAAATGTAAAAAAAAATCCAGTCTGGCCCGGTTCAGCCCACGCCCAAGGCCCGACCTGTGGTCTAGCCTAGCATGGCCCAAGCCCATGACATGGCTTGTAGCTCGCCCGACCTAGGCTCGTGGCACGGCATGGGCCCACACGGGCTTGGGCCGTGGGCCGTGTTGGGCCGACCCCCCAAATTATCCCTGTGCCGTTCTAGCCCGACATAGCCTATTTTACACCTCTACCTACGTCCATGACTCCACGGGCAAAGGAGGAGTAGAAATCCATTATAAAATCAATAATAGAGATTAAAGAATTGTGCACAACCTCTCTCACAGAAACCCTAAGCCCCAAAATACTCCAAACCTCTCGACTCGTCTTTCAAACAAAGAAAAAATGTAAACAATGAAAAACCACCATACTACATAACTCTTCGTATTTAGGTTGGATCCATAAGTTCCATATGGATCAGATGCTTGATCAGATGCTTCCACCATAAACCACTATTGAATATTTGTTTTCGGTTTTTTTTTTAAATATAATTTGGAGTGGATCATAAAGTGGATAACAATAAAAAATTCAAGGCACAAACATAACATATTCTCGTTTGGAAAATGAATGAAGCATTCTTGTATAATTGTATTAGTAAAAAGGCATGATAAATGTTCTCGTTACAGGAGTTCAGTTTTTCATAATCTCTAGAAACAATCTGAATTCCGGTAAGTTCCATCAAAATAAATTTGATTAAGAAAGAATCAAAACTGAAAAATAGAAATCCTACTCTAACTTGAGAAGATACATTGACCTTTGCTAGGGGTGCTCACGGTTTGGTTAACTGAACCATGGGGTGATTTTCTAGACCGAACTGACTTGTTCAGTTTTTAAATCTAACCAAACCGATGCAACTGGTTAATCGTGGCTCGGTTTTTTTGGTTTTTTTATGCACTGAAAATTAAAAAAAAAGGGAAAAACCTTCCTTCTTGCAGAAGAGACTGAGTGAGAGCTGATGGATGATGGTCTGAGATAGAGTGAATAGAATTGAAACTGAGAGAGATAAGAGATTGAGAGAGATGAGTGACTGAGACTGAGAGAGAAGAGACTAAGTGAGTGTCGAGTGAGAGAGAGATTGAGAGATGAGAGATTGAGAGGAGACACCAAATGGTCTAAGAGAGGGTGAAAGCTTTGAGTTTAAGAGTGAGAGAGTCAAAGAGATGACTGATGAGAGAATGAGAGCCGATGAACAGAACTGACTATTGAGAGAGATTAGAGTGAGAGACGCTCACTAAGAGTAAGAGACACTCACAGAGAGTGAGAGACACCATCGGTAGGTCTGGCCTGTTGGGGAAGAAGAAGAAGAGTCTGAGAGAGAGGATAGAGAGTGAGATAGTTGGTTGCCTGGTCACGTTGGTGACTCGATCGTTGGAGGCCGTCGGTGATTCGGTCAGAGGGCGGAGCGCTGGAGGCCGTCGGTCTATTGGGGAAGAAGAGAACTGAGACTGAGAGTCTGAGAGAGTGACAGAGAAAGCTCAAAGAGGGAAAGAAAGGGGAAATTGGAAAGGCGTGGCGGAGGTAGGAGGCCGATTATTACTTATTAGGGATTCAATTTTCGAAGAGACTGTCAGACAGTCAGACTAAGAGACTAGCAGTGATGCAGTGTTTGGTTTTCAAAGTCTCAGACTAGCAGTGACGCAGTGTTTAATTTTCAATTAAAAGGTTCGATTTTCGAAGAGAAAGGCTGAAAGTCTCAGACTGCCAAACTTTTTTATTCAATTTTTAGAAAAAAATAAAAAATATATAAATACTATATAAATATACATCGGTTGGTTCAGTTAACCGCCGGTTTTTTTAAATGGTTAACCAAAACCGAACCGAAACTGTCAATTTTTTGAAAACATCGAACTGAAACCAAGCCATCTGGTTTGGTTAACCAATTTTTTTAGTTCGGTTTCGGTCGGTTGTTTTGGTCAGTTTGGTTTTTTGGTTTTTTTTGCTCACCCCTAACCTTTGGTTGTCTTCATTATACCTCCAATGCTCCACCATAAAGGACATTGCTTGTGCTTCAACCAACAAATAAAGTAGAGCACCAAGTAGAACCTCTCAATTGAAAGCTCTAATTTTTTAAGGTACAGGGCTATACCACCCTCCTTTATTGGAAAGTTCCCTGCAAGGTTAGATGAATGAAGGACATTAAAGAGGATGAACAAGTAAAAGTTCAAAAGGGAAAGGTTTCTAAATTTTGCTATCCAACAAGTTCATTAGTCATCCCCGTTTTCCTTTATTTTTTGAGATAGAGTAAGTGGAAGGGAACAAATTCTGTGGTGAAATTAGAAATGTTTTACATTTTACATGGTGTTTGGTGTGTTGTGGTGTTGTATTTCAGCATAACAACTGTTAAATCTCTTAAATGCAATTGCATTTAAAATAAAGGGGCACATTTTAACTGGAGGATACATGTAAAAGGTGGAGTGAAGGGTTCATTCAATGCGACTTCTTATAAATGGAGGATATAGCACTCATTAGTCAATACTTTCCTAAACCTCAGTAACTATTTATCAAAAAATAACTATGGGCCTAGTGCCACTTTGGCCCTCAACTTTAAAATGTGACAATTCAGTATTCAAACTTTCAAAATGTGCCAATTTAGTAATTATCATCATCAATCGTTAATCAGCCATTAAGTTGTATATGAAAAGACACAAGTATCCTTCAAGTGTCATCTAATTTTCTTTATTAACCATCCAAACATTGACAAAAAATGAACAGTCCCAAATTCTTCTTTTCTATTCAAGAAAGTTGGGATCACCTCTCAATGGGCATTTTTGTGACTCCAACTTTCTTGAATAGAAGAGGCAAGGATTTGGGACTATTCATTTTTTTTTGTCAATGTTTAGATGGTTGATAAAGAAAAATTAAATGACACTTGAAGGGCATTTATATCTTTTCAATACCACTTAACGACAAGTACTAAATTGACACATTTTGAAAATTTGGATACTGAGGCGGTGTTCGGTTTGGTGTTCATTTTGTGGACGGGACCGTTTCGGTCTGGTCCATGGGATGAACACCTGTTCAACTAGTTGTGGATGGGTAGCGTCGACCGGTCCATGGTTAGGTTCCATCCACAGGTAATTCTTTGATCCCTTACTTCACACTCTCCCTGAAACCCTATATTGCTTCACATTTTACCGTTGGAGGTCTCCACCACCCGCTGAAGCTCTCCACCGCTGCAACTCTCCTCCACCGGTCCACTTGCCAAGGCTCCATCTTGAAGAAACGCACAATGTAACTTTCTCTCTTTCTCTCTCTCTCTGTTTAGTTCTATTTCAAGTGTTGTTCTTGACAAATGCTAGTTCTGCATCCGAAAGTCCTCTGTATTGTGTTTTCCTCTTGATGCAATCCTTCTTTATTGTGCGAATAGTACTGTGTTTCCCTCTTAGCTGTTGAATGATGCTAAATCCTGAATAGTCGATTGTTTGCTTTTGTGTTCTTAATGCATCCATCCGGTTTGTAATTATTTTACTTATTTTTTTAATAAAATATTAGTTTTAAATATTATTTTTGTCAATAAAATATTAATTATTTTACTTATTTTTTTAAATTTTAATGTTTTTACTAGTAAAATAATATTTTTAAATATTTAAAATATATTTATTAATTTTTTACTATTTTTTTATAAAAATTATTATTTATTGGTTAATATTAATTCATTGATGCCTTTTTCAATATTTTTATCATATATAATGCAAAAATTAGATATTTATGATTAATTGTGTAAGTCATTCATAAAATGTATATGAGATACGTGGAATAAAAAAGTGTGGTATTGATTGGTCTAATCCACACAATTTGTCCCTAGTTTAAAACAACTTAGAACTATGGTGTAGTGTGGATTGATCCCTATCATGCCAGGGTGTGGTGCGGACCAATTCACACCCACTCATCCACGCTACAAATACCCCCTGAATTGTCGTGTTTTAAAGTTGGGGACGAAAGTGGTATTAGCCACAATTACAGGCTGCTAATGGGGAATTTATCCAAAAATAAATATATAGATAAATTATTACTTAATTACCCTTTGAAAATGCTAGAGCAAGAACACGTGCACGTGTGCAAGCAAGTCCCGTGCGTGTGCTCCAAAATCCAAATCCTGATACTYGGTCTCGGTCCAAGGATGTCTGCAGAAGTAGAAGCAGCGAGGAGAAGCATTTGTTAGCGAAGAAGAAAAGAAAGCCAGCCATGCTTACTTCACAGATGACCTTGGTTGGGGATCTTTCTTCTTATGCTTCTTCTTCTCCTTTCCGGGCGTCAACCCTAGTCTCTGCACCAAAATCTCCTTCGCCCTTTATGTCAACCTTCCCTCTCAATTTCTTCGATGAATATTGTGGCCGCAGGTTCAGTAGAAGAAGAACTAAAGAACAAAAGCCCTTATTAGCTTCAATGGAGTTTCGATCTTCTCAACCGATGGTTATCCTATGCAGCGGTAGCAACGCCTTTTCCTCCAATTACTTGACAGAAATGGGTTAGTAACATTATACAGTTTCTGTATGCTATGAATCCAACAATATCTCTCCAATAAAAACCAGAAAAATACCCAAACTCGTATTTATTTGTTTCGGCCTTCCTGTTTAGGGTTATATTTCCCCTTCTTTCAAGAAATTGGACTTGAAGAGAGAGAAGCCGAAGTTCTCTTCCACAAAAATCCACTTCTGAGGTCTGCATCTTTGGAATTCCTTCGCACCCGACTTCTTTCCCTGCGTTCCGTTGGCATTGATGGCTTTTCTCTCTGTCGCTTGATTACCAAACGTCCTGATGTACTAACGGCGGAAGAAATTGGTCCGCTGCTCTGCTTTGTTCGTGATGAGTTGGAAGGTCAGATAGAACCCTTAAAGCTCGAACGCCTTTTAACTGTTACAGATCCCCAATTCTTCGTAGGTTTTTCCGGGAAGGTTACTTTATTGCTTGATCATGGAATTCCCCGCCAAGAGCTAGCTAATGTTCTCAACAATGTCAATCTCACCAAGGTGTTCTGCTATAAACCAGCCAAAGAGCTCGAAAGAACTCTCCTTTTCCTGGACCGGTTCGGTGGTGTCGATTTGATCATTCGACGGCCTGGGCTTCTTAATTTGGACTTGCAAAGCCAGCTTGTTCCACGAATCAGGTTTCTTACAGAGCTCAGTGGGGAAGATGAAAATGCCACAGCAACCGTGTTGCGTAAGCTACCTGCAATTTTAACCTACAGTGTAGAGCATCTACAAGGCCATGCCGAGTTCTTGAGATCCTTCGTTGGTTTAACCGACCACGAAATCTTCAGAATCGTTCTTGTCTATCCAAATATCTTCAGTGTCAGCAAGGAGAGGAAATTGCGTCCGAGAATCGAGTTCCTTAAACAATGCGGGTTGAGTTCTAACGATATCTTCAAGTTCCTGATCAAGGCGCCACTGTTTCTGAGTCTATCGTTTGAAGAAAATCTCTCTAAGAAATTGGGGTTTCTGGTGAAGATTGGATACGAGAATGGAACCAAGGAGTTGGCACTGGCGATGGGGGCGGTAACCAGAACCAGTTCTGAGAACATGCAGAAGGTGATCGGTGTCCTCCTGAGCTATGGCCTCACTTGTGATGACATACTTGCCATGAGCAAGAAGCATCCCCAGATACTGCAATACAACCACGACTCTCTGGAGAAGAAATTGGATTACTTGATCGAGGAGATGGGTCGAGAAATTGGAGAGCTGTTGGCTTTTCCTGCCTTTCTCGGTTACAAGCTCGAAGACAGAATCAAGCATAGATATGAAGTAAAGAAGAAGACAATAGGTGAGGGAATGTCGCTTAACAAGCTCTTGAGTGTTTCAACTGTGAGATTCTTCAAGAAGAAGACGACTTCAATGCCCATGAAAAATACTGTTGATGGAGATGATTAGGAAGATTCCCTATGCTTTCGTTTTTTGATGACTATTGCTTCCGTCTTACAGAAGAAATAGTTGATATTTCAGGATTTTCATTTAGAGGTCTGGATCCAATTTGTCTATTTATTTCTTATATCGCAAGTCCATATTTTGATTAATAGAAAAGGAAAATAACTAAAGTAAGGCAACTATGATCTGGCCTACCATTAACCTCGAGGTATACATCCACTACAAGCTGCTTACAGGGTTCCACCTATTAGTTATAATTTTAAGATTGACATCTGAAGTGACATAAGGAAATCTAAAATGGCTAACTAAACCGCATTATCAAATATGTTTGTTTCATGTTGGTATTTAATCATCGGATAGTAAAGCTTGTGGTAGATGCAGCATGCAGGGTAAGTTGATCTAACCTTCCATTTAAAGTTCCATATATTTAATTTAGACCAACTCTATTTATACCATATTTACTGTGTTTCCAACAGCTCGTGGTAAGCAAAGTGATTGTGATTGGAAAATTCCTAGGTGCTCATTGCATGGATAATAGACTTAACCTCTTAAGTTGCTCTTGAATTTTAAAATCATCCAATTACCCACACTTGGGTTCAGATTAATGGGTTCAAGAGGTTCTCATTGACATCTTGAATAAGAAGTCCTGTACTCCTTAAGTGTTTCTGTTATCTTTTTCAAGAGCTCAAGGGCCATACTACCCAAACTCATATTCAGGTTGTCTGTAAGTAGCAAAAAAAGTAGTCTTTTGCTTTGTGTAGGAAATAAATTACTGGTACTAAGGAGTTGATGGGACAACCTCCTCTGAAAGGGTAGGGGGTTCTTTGAAGCTCTGGAGTAAAAAGTTATTTTAATCAATAAAAGGAGCTCCCAGGTTTATATTTTTCTGATTCAAGTCTGAATTAAATTATGTTGGGTTTGAATTGGGAATCCAACCCAACCTAGTTTTCTTCATTGCCTTATCCCCCTCCCCCTTTCTGCTCCCTGCAAGTGGTTTGAATTGGCAATTCTCACATTGTTAAGTTTAGTCTTTGAACAATAATCTTTATAATTATTTAAAGATTACTTAGAGAAGGAAGCTGCTAATTATAATTATTTAAAGATTACTTGGTTGGCTACATGAATCCTGTTTCACCATTCTGTTCTATTCAGTGCCATAACCATCATTAAACTATGGGCACTTATATCATTTTTTAGTACTTCCACCCAAGTTCTTTTTAGTCTGCCCCTAGCTCTGAAGGGATGAGAGATCTATCGTATGGATGTCCAAATCTTGCGGAATAAATGGGCGAATTTCAAAAATTTTTCTCTCCCTTTCAACTGGGAATCGCATTCCCTATTTAGAAAATCATATTTTCAAGGATCAATCTTGAACTGAACCAGATCTGAACCAAAAGTAGTAGGAGAAGATCATACCTGATACGGAGAAGTAATATCTCCCAATGAAGGTGTTCACGCCCAAGGAAGGATCCAAAGATTGCTCCTACTGAATATAGCGCAGTGCAGGATGGAGCAGAATCAGCAGCATTCTTCTCTAAGAATTCTGTCATTCGCAAGAAACAACAGGATGGCACGTGAGCATAGCTTCCTATCTATTCTTTCTCAAAGAATTGATGTCAAGATCGAATCTTGACTTCTCCCACAACTGGAGATCGAACTGGCAAACTGGGCGGCAAGAACAAGGAGGCGGCAAGAAAGAATTCTGCAGGGTTGCTTAATTCTTTCTTCTGTGTTTTTCAGCACTCAAGAGAATGTGAGTATGTATTCTAAAAGCTGCCGCCCCTTCCTTATTTGTTTTAACCCCAAAGGATCAGCTCCTAATCCAATTAGGAGTTGCTGATCCAAATCTTATTTGGATCAAAACATCTCTTTAGGTGATAAGGATTAACCCTTATCTTATCTGCAGATTAGATTAGCTTTCTCCTAATCTCATTAGGAGGTTTCTAGATCTGCAGATTAGATTAGCAACTCCTA